CTCCTGGTCTTCAGTCTCATTTGGAGTAGCACCAGTTGTGGTCTGGGGATCAGGATTATCAGTTACTGCTGCTGTTGTAGTTGAGTCCTGCTCATCATCTTCTTCTTCAGACTCATACCATTCTTCTTCACTTCCTTCCCAATAGATCTTAGTTAGAACAGGTTGGATCTCAGAGTTCCATTCCCACCCCTGGTCCTCATCAAAGACAACATCTCTACTAACCACAATTTTCTTGGTATTGGGGTTATAGAGTTTGTATGCCTTAGATTCTGCTGATAATCCCAGAAAATGACAAGGAGTGCTCTTGTCATCCAGCTTCCTTTTGTGTTGATCATGTACATGTACATAGGCCTTGCAACCAAAGACCTTGAGATGTGAAACAGAAGGAACATGACCAATCCACAGTTCCTGATGAGTTCTGCCTTGATTTGCCACAGTAGAACACCTGTTGAGAACATGGGAGGTCCAGGCCAGAATGAAGCTGGAACCTTTCTATCCTCAAGCATGCATCGAACCATATTCATTATGGTTCTATTCGTTCTCTCAGCCACCCTATTCTGCTGAGGGGTGAGGGCTGCAATAAGTTGCCTTCTTATGCCTGTCTCTTCACATAGATCTTTAAACATATTTAGGAGAAATTCCCCTCCCCTATCAGTTCTCAAACATACTATAGGTGATTCAGCCTCTTTCTCAATCAACGCTTAAAACTTTTTGAATCTATCCAGTTCTCATATTTGGTGGCCAAGAAAAACACCCACAGCTTTCTACTGTAATCATCTATTAGAGTGAAAATGTACATTTTCCCTCCATTTGAAGTTGGGGTTATAGGGCCACAGAGATCAGCATGTAAGAGCTGAAGTTTCCGGTTTGCTCTCCATGTGCTCTTCTTGGGAAATGTTGTTCTGTGCTGCTTTCCAATCTAGCAGGTTGAGCACACCCCAGTTGTTCCATGTAGCTTAGGCAAATCCTTCACAAAGTTATTCCGCTTCAGCGGCAAGATTGCTTGTGAATTGATATGCCCAAATCTTCTGTGTCACAGCTCCAATAAATGTTCATTGGATCCTCCAGTCTTTAGACACTGAATGGCCTCCTCTCTGCACATGTTTGCTTTTAGTAAAAACATCTTGTTCTTCTACATACTGGTCTGCAGTACCAACCCTTTTTGTTCATGGAACACTTTACAAGTTCCTCCCTTGATCAGAAAGGCCAGACCTTTCTCTTGAAACTGGCCAACACTGAGCAAATTTGTGTTTAGTTCTGGGACATAATAAACATCTTGAATCTGTAAGTTAATATGTTCTATTACATCAAGCCTGAAGTCATTTCCCAGCCTCACACTCTCTTTGAAATTTGTATCCAGCTCAGTAAACCATTGCTTGTTTTTACACATATGGTTACTGCAACCTGAATCCAAGAACCATAACACTTCATTCTTCTCATCTTTTTCACCATCCAGGAAGGCCATAAGTAACATATCATCTTTCAACTCAGAAGAGGTGGAGTAATTAACCTGTTGACTGTTGTACCATTATGGGCATTCATACCTGAAAGGCCCAACTTATGACATTTGTAGCATTCTACAGAATCCTTACTCCAGCCTCTTCCTCTTCCCCTTCCTGGATAGCCACCTCTTCTCTTCCACCACTCTCATATCCAGCCTTAAGCGCTTGATCTTTTTCTGCATCATTCTTCTTCTGAAACTTATGCTCATGCACTATCAAAGAACTTTGAAGTGCATCTACACTGATAGGGGTGGCTATACGGTCTGGTCCGGTTAAATTGGACCAAATTGATCCGGTCCCAGTCCGGTCTTTTCGGGAATATAAGGATCAAAGGTTGGATTGGATACAGTCCGGTCTTGACCCGGACCGGTCCCAATTTTATCTTGATTTTAGGTGTTGGGGGTCTCTTATCCGGTCTTTATCCGTTTTTTTACCTCAAATCTAAGCCCGAATATGAGATTGCATTGTTTGCTATCCGGTTTCGGGTAAAACCAAACAGTCCGGGACCAAATAGCCATCCCTATACACTGAGTTGCTCAATATCTTTGGACTCTTCTATTGAGCACACCACATAATTGAACTTCTCAGTTAAGGTTCTGAGAATCTTCTCTACAATCTGAACATCAGTCAGATTTTCACCACAATTCCTCATAGAGTTTGCAATAACCATTACTCTACCAAAGTAATCAATGATAGCTTCACCTTCCTTCATTTCCAGCAGCTCGAAGTTCCTCCTCAGACCCTGTAGCTGTGCCTTATGGACTCTGGCACTTCCTTGGAACTTTTCCTTCATTGCATCCCATAATTCCTTTTTTGTCTTCTTCTTTGTGATGGTCTTCAGAATTGTCTTATCAATGGAGCTGTAGAGGTAGTTTTTTGCCTTGAGATCCCTTAGCCTTGACTCCTCCAGACCTTTGCTTTGAGCTTCAGTGAGAGCCTCACCTTCAGAGGGCACTCTAAACCCTTCACTAACCACCCCCTAGTATTCCTTTGACCTTAGCAAATTCTCCATCAACAGACTCTAGTGGTCGTAATCACCATCAAATCTGGGAATGCACACCTATGCAAAGCTGCTATTCTCACCCATTTTCAGCAGATTTCTTCTCAGCATTTAGCTAGAAATCTCACTCACCACCCTGCTTGGATCTCCTCTCTGATTCTCTCGTGTTTCCCTAACCATGATCTGCAATCAGACTTGCAGATGAAAGTTTTAATCTCTCTTTTGTTTGGTTAGATTTAGCCAAAGCTCTGATACAATAATGTGAACTTTTGTAAGGGGCAACTGACGAGTTTATTGATAGTCAAAGAACAATATAAATACAATGGAATCTGTCATGCAATCTCGCCATTACTAACCAACTAATCCCCTTGACTCCACTTCCCTTGATCTCAGCTAAGATACTAACTAACACTGCTAACAATGCTGCTAACTTGACTCCAAAGCAATCAGACCCTCTAACAACTAGAATGGACTTAAGTGACTCAAGACACAAACTAAGTGACTAAACTGCATTTAACCAAAACGACTCAGCAGTAGCAATAATGTAACGTCTACTTTATTCAAACTCTTGCTGACATGCAGATCGCACACTCATGAACCTTACTCGGCTTCAACGCCTCCTCCGATGACGCCGGAGGAGGATTAGTATTATCTAGGACGGCCGTCGTACTCACAATTCGCAACGAAAGGGCCAATTCCTCTCCGCCTTCTTCACGCAATTTCTTATTGTTGTTGTTGTTGTTTTCTTGGCCGGCTTCACCTTCGTCGCCTGTTGCTAGTGGCGACGACAATGGAGTTCTTGATCAGATACTCTTGTACATGAATAAGCAGTAGCTTGTTATTAGAGCTGGTGACGGCGGAATCAAAGCCGCTACTGTCGCCGTGTACCGTTAGGGAGGTCTTCTTGATGAACTCGATGGAGTCGGCGACTGCCGACTGCTTCGCTGTGGTAAGGATCAGCCAGATGGCGGTGGTGGTAATTAGTAGCCTCCTTGCGGTATGATCTGAGGAAGGCGAAGCGGGCCTGGCAGATGGGCCGGTGGGCTTGGAGAGAGCGAGCACTATAAAATTTTCAAAAGCACACAAAAAACTACATAATGCAAACCACAAACACAACAAAGCGAACCACATAAAACAACCAGATTCTTCCTAATGCAGAACACAAAACTATTAAAATAAACCAGAAACCTCACAAACCAAACCACATAATTTTCAAAAGCAACCAAAAACCTTCTAATGCAAACCATAAAAGCAAACCAGAAACCTTCTAATGCAAACCACAAATCTATTAAAACAAACCAGAAACCTTGCAAAGCAAACCACAAAAGTTTCAAAAGCACACCAGAAACCTTCTAATGCAAACCACAAAAGTTTCAAAAGCACACCAGAAACCTTCTAATGCAAACCACAAAAGTTTCAAAAGCACACCAGAATCCTTCTAATGCAAACTAGAAACCTTCTAATGCAAACCACAAATATATTCAAACAAACAAGAAACCTCACAATGCAAACCACAAAATTTTTGAAAGCAAACCAGAAACTTCTTAATGCAAACCACAAACACGATAAAGCAAACCACAAAAGGCATACAAAAACACGAGAAACCAAATCATAAATCTCACAATGCAGACCATAACATCCGGTGGTCGTTGACCGTTGACCAAACTCCGATGACCGTCAGTGAGCAGATTCCGACGCCGATAGGCGTATTCCGGCCCCGATGACTATATTCCGACGCCGATAAGCATATTCTGACCACGATGAGCATATCCCGGCGACAGTGGCATATTCCGATGACAAAATAGCATATTCCGGCGACCGGTGGCCGAATTCCGGCAACCAAGCTAATAAAAAATCATCACAACCCAAGCTTCCTATTGGTTGGAGACTAGTGTTGTTACAATAACAACAGAAGGAATGTTGTCACCCTATCTAGTCCCTTAAGGCCTCAAAGACATCATATCAATCAATACAACATATATTGTTGTTTAGTACATACTCTTGAGTACATATCCATCTAGGCTATACGATAATCCGAATTCTTACAAGCACAAGCAATTCCAGTATGTTAAAATACGTACTAGTACCTACAAACAAACAAAGCCAACCATTCCCAATCAACGCAAGGCATCATGCACTGATAATTTTCCCCAAGTGTTTTTCGAATACTTCCAACCAGCTAATCCATCCATCCCACCTCATCCCGTCACCTACAAAACGCTAGTCAAGATTTTTAAAACTAATTATCCAAGTGCAAGAAATCCAGTTCTCTGCCCCTTCTGCCATCTCCCCCTGGCCTCTTTCTGTTCATCAATTCGTACGTCACAGTCACTATATAAGTATTTGTTCTCCAATCGGTCATCAAACAACTGCTAATCAGCCATTTCTATGTTCAGTTAGCATTTTGGGGTTTTCTCCATTTTCGGTTAATTAGTTCCAACTTCCAAGGAGAGGAGATAATTAATATGGCACGGATACGCCTAATTGAGCACGGGTTGATGATTGCGGGTCATGGGTTCGGGTCCTGGCCGTCGATGCTGGTAGCAATCGGGTTATTCGTGGCGATTGTAGCTCTGGTGGCATTATGCGCCCACCAGCCGGCTAAAGAGAAGCAGAATTGCAATACAACGTCGGACAGAACAACTTCGAAGAAGCTAATGAACAGGACAATTAGCCGGAACAAGATCAATCCGTCGGCGACCCAGAAGAAGAGGGGCGGGGATGATCACGCCCACGAAATTAGGGTAGACGTCAGCGCTCAGGTGCCCCTTCCTTCCTCGACTCCTCTGCCTCCGCCGCCGCCGCCCGCGGCGGAGAAGAGGAGGGAGAAAATCGCGCCGCCAGGGGCGCCACATCGGAAGAACAGTAAGGACTTGAGCGCGAGCAGCAGGAGGAGGGACGGCAGCGGCGGGGGCGGCGGCGGAGGGTGTGAGAAGAAGGGGAAGATCGGGGCGAAGGTGGCGACGGGAGGGTTCGGGGAAGGCGGGTTGTGGCAGAAATCAATACTGAGAGGGGAGAAGTGTCAGCTGCCGGAGTTCTCCGGCGTCATATTTTACGACAGCCGAGGGAATCAAATCCAGATAGCGGAATGAACGAAACGCAGCGTTTTCTGTGGAGCCTTTGTTTATCTTTTACAGCCTGTTTGGATACAATTTCATAAGAAATGGAAATGGATTTCCATTCCCAATTCTAACTTTTATGGAATTCCATTTCCAATATTTGTGTTTGGCATAATTCCAACAACTATGGAAATGAATTGTATTCTTTAACAATCATTAATGATTTAGTAGATTTTTTTATCTTGGGAAATGAAATATGGATGAGAGAGAAATAAGATAGTGGAATTATAAAATAATAATAAATATGAATGAGTCCCACTAATTCCATTTCCATAACCCCAATTCCTATCACTTTTGATAGGAATTCTAATTTCCAATATTTTAGTCAAATGGAATTCATTTTCCAACCTTCTTACCATTCCAAACATGAAATAATGAAATAGAATTGGAAATGGAATTCCAATTCCTGAGTTTTTTGTCCATCCAAACAGGCTGTTAAGGGCGGATTCAGTACTGATTTGGGAATCCCTTTCTACCGGCGGCAGGGTGGCTTTGACCTTGAATTTTTCCGTGGATTTACAGATTCCCTCTCTTCAGATGTATTCTTGTCTACAGTTTTGATTCATGTGCCTAAGTTTTTTTCTTCATATATATGGGCCTTTTTTCCTATAGTAGTTCCTGGTTTGTGGATGTTTGTGTCTTTGTAAGAAGCGGCACTGGAAAGAAGAGCTACTTTCTTTTTCTTCTTCCTTTGTGTGGCACGAGGGCGACCAAGCTGCAAAAATAAAAAAATAAAAAGCACCAGACAATATATAAGGAAAACTAGCATTGGGCCCGGCTTCATACAAAACTTGTACGTAAGTTTTGTTTTATTATATTTGAAGAATAGAGGAATGGTTAAGTAGCATAATATGTAACTAATGATTCTGCTTAACTAAACGTTTAGTTTATGAGATTCAATTTCATGGAAAAACAAACTCAAATAGCATCAATATAAGAGCACTGTCACCTGATAAGAGCATCCATTTCAGTAGTGTTTGTCTACTAAGGCGGCTAACGGAAAAACATTGAGCTGACAATACTGATGCAGTGGTAGCAGAATGGAAAGTTTGCGTGAACACAAAATGTGTTCAGTTGTTTGATGTAGATTATCGCAGCTAGATCCATTGGTTTTGGCAAGGGTCTTGTGGCAAGTTGGTGGAGGTAGGGGTTGAATCAGAAGATGAATTGTTCTCATATGGGAATATGCTTTTCAAGCGACCCAATAGTACTAACCAGAATGCCTTGAAGAATGCGTTTAGGAAATTGGAAGAGTTATAAGGGTTTAGAGAACTTGTCCTTTTTCTGATTTATCCACACCTTGGTGGCCGAGATCCGCCGGTGGCTTGAGCAGGGGTGGCTGGTTAGAATCGAACATGTTTACAGGGAAGCTAACTATGTGGCTGATCACCTTGCTTTCGTTGGTCATTCGTTACCCATTGGGGTTCACGGGATTCAAGTCCCGAATAGTACTCTGCGTTACTGGCTGTATTTTGACATTGCGGGGATTCATACACCCCGCCTCATTAGTTTGCAATAAAGGTTAGGGTTCCCTTAGCGCCCTGTTTCTACCCAAAAAAAAAAAAGACTCATGGGCAGTGATGGAATTGTTGTGCATTTCAGTAAACAGATTCCTTATCCCAAATTTTTACCATCGAACTTGCTCTTATGGGAAAGTCCACTCAATTGTCAAAAAATTTGTCTCTTGCAAATTGGATTTGGAAGGGGAGGTGTGGACTTCAGGAACATTGATTGGTTCAATATAGGCGACTGATCACGGTGGAATGCGTGCTTCTTGTGCTTAAAAATAATGAGATAGTTTGTCGGATAGCGGATTACAGGGATGCACCTGAGATACCTGATCTAGGGGAAGTTTATTTGAGTTTTCCCTAGCAGTTTGTTGCTGAGTTTTGGCAGCTCATAATACAACAGTTTACTGCTTGCTTGGTGTGGTTATGAGTACAATTAGATTAACGTGTAATGGAGATTTGATGGTCTGGAGTCTCTTCAGCATGATATAGTAAGGCATCTAATGATGGTAGCCAAGAGCAAGATTAGGGACGGCAATTACCCACTCATGGGCAATTATACCCAAATCCAAGTGATCCATTTATAATGGGTTGGGTATGGGTGAAGTGCATATGGGTTTGGGAGTTTGTAGATGGGTTTGGGTAAGGTATGGATATTGCTTTCATAATCTAAATGGGTATGGGTTGGATATGGATATCCATTTACTTGAGGGTGTTTTAACTATACATACAAAAATTGGACCTATTTGCATAACTTGGAAAGTTTAGGTACCAAAATGTAAGACCAAAAAAATTTAGATACCAAAACGTAATTTTCCATCGATATTTTGAGGACTTATGTGCAAAAAAAATTAAATTTAGGTACTAAATATGCGTATCTATTAAGTTTAGGTACTAAACTGTAATTTACATTTTGGCATTGGTACAAACCCAAATCTATTTGTTATAAACCCAACCCAATCCAAGTAAATGGGTATGGGTACAAACCCATCAAACTCTACCCATATCCATTTATTTGGATTTTATAGCAAACCCAATTGGGTTGGATAGTAAAAAACTCATGGGTATGGGCAAAATTGTCATTCCTAAGCAGGATTGGATAAGCAAATAAAAGGATTAAAAAGATTTATGTAGATGATTAAATTATACCAAAATCCAATCCTCGAAATTGATAAGCAAATAACCAACGCATGGAAAGACAAGAGAGATAGCGAACACCAACAATAAAATTATCTAAAAAATGCAGCAAATATTGAAAATAGGTTTGCTTTCGTAACAACAACAATTAGATTATCTAGCATTAAAAGTAGTTTTGCATTCATAACAGCAACAATTAGATTATCTAGAAAATGTAGCAATCCTTGTCATTAGCAATCCTTGCCAGTCATGAACCAAAAAATTGAAAATAAAAAACAATCATGTAATATATATTATTATTATTATGTAAAAGTCCAATCCATCAAATTTATATGCAAAGAGCAACACATCAATAGGGTAGAAAGAAGGAAAACGCCAGCAATCTGTCAAAAAATTGCAGCAGAACTTCTTGGGAGATTTTCATTGATAGCAGTGTGAGTAAACTGAAGACACATTTGGTAGTGTTGAACCAAACTTGAGAAAAAAAAATGTCAATTCAAAAATGAAAAAACTATCCATCATATGAGAAAGGAGTGTTGTCAAAGAACACCACTGCATTCCACAATTGGAACTTAACAAAGAAAATAATCCATACGGGGCAAACCTAGAAACAGAGTTGCAATGTCAACCTAAATGAAAACAAAATACTAAATATCTCAAAGATGAAAACAAAACACTAATTAGAAGCGTAAAATTGTGATTGTTAACTACTCAAAGCCACCAATACTATTCCTCCCCGGGGTGTCACAGTCAACATGTTTTCTTTTCAGTTCAGATAAGATTGTCCCTCAAATGTCCTCAGGAGTTGATGTCTCAGTCACTTGCTGCAATCAAAATACTGAAATAGAGAAATAATACTACTGTAAACAACGAAATTAATCTGGCACCTTATATATACACTTAGGGCGCAGGGGAAGGGTTCATCATCGACCTGAAGTGGATCATGATCAACGATAACCACAGTATACTCAGCTTGAGAGTTCAAGAAGTTGAACTCGATAAGTTTAACATGAACTGATTTCTTAAATTGAATACCAAGATCATAAAAAATAAGAGGAAATAGTATACGTTTATAGACCAGCAACAAATAAGAAAAAGTTAGTTCTTTATTAATGGATAGCAATTTAAATTTTTCATTACAGCTACAGCTCTCATAATATAAACTACTATATGTTCTACGTTCAACAAAAGGCATTTGCAGGCCACGTACACAATGCAAATGAAGCTTTATGGCTATACCCTTCCTCCCCTGCTACTTGCTCAAATACCTGACAATTTACATAAAGAAACATGGTTTGCTTCTTCCAAAATTTGCATTGCAGAAAGTTATTAACTTAGTTTCATTGATTTAGTTGACTGCAAGTTACTTAGCTTCAGCTACAACAACTTAGCATGATCCAAGTCATCATTTCTATTATATATATCACTTATTAAGAATGAAAACCCAACAGACAACAAAGAAAAAATTCCATCAAATAAAATTTGATCAAATTCATAGTAAGTGCAGAAAACCAACCATTTAAAATAAAATGTGCAAACCTATATTACCATAAAGAAGCTAAATGTTAAAGCATACACACATAAATGGATACCTTATACAATTCCATACACCAATCAAATCAGGCCTTCCGTCCTACTCCCAATCAAGCTTCTGCTGCTCATAACAGTTAAAACTCATGATACTAAACTGCATAACATCCAAAGATAAGCAAAAGGCGAAGAGTGACATAATTGGGACTGAAATAATAGGCACTCAATCAATGCAGTTAAAAACGCGATTCTACCTAGAAGCGGAAAAGGGGTAAAATCGTAAAGCGTATAATCAAAGCGTAAAAGCGTAAGTTTTTAACGCATACTGAAAAATAACTAAAAATCTATTAAGTAGGACATATGCTATACAAAATATGAATGCACAGAATTTAGTTAAGTTAATAAATACATGGTATTCATGCTTAAAGTAGAGCAACTTATAGCATCTTAATAATAAGTTTGTAAACATAAATTTTAACGGTAAGCCACTTTTCCCTCTATGCTAATGAATGTAGAAAAAGCCTAGCTGGTGAATTAGATTACTCTATTGAAGTTGAGAATGCATCCAAGTACCTAGTATGTATCTTTTAATCTCAAATGTATCATATTGTTAGTGATTTACTTAAAAAATATACTTTTTATAATTAATTTCATGAAAAGAATACTGATTTGGTGAACTAAAAGCGTAAAAACGTAAAGCGTTTTGGTGAATTAGAACCGTAAAACCGTAAGTTTTTAAGATTTAAAGCACAATTTAGTCCGATTTTATGCACTTAAGTTTTTATATGGAAACGAAAG